CTTCAGTATTTTCTCCGTTTATCCGTTTATCATGATGTTGCTTATTGGTCCAGTTGTAAGGATTTTTGTTTTCTTTATGTTGAGGTGTAATCCATACTGAAGGCCATAGTCTTTGATCTTCATCAGTAAGTGCTTCTAGTCCTTTTCACTTTCGGCAAGCAAGGTTGTATCATCTGCATATCACAGGTTGTTAATGAGTCTTCCTCCAGTGCTGATGCTGAGTTCTTCTTCATATAGTCCAGCTCCTAGGATTACTTGCTCAGCATACAGATTGAATAAGTCACCAAGGGTGACCCTGTTGGTATTTGAAATACTGGTGGCATAGCTTCTAGCACCACAGCAACATGCAAGCCACCAGAGTATGCCAAACTGACAGATGTGTGGGGGAAGAAAAATTGATGCATTTGAATTATGATGTTGTCAAAGAATATTGAATTACCATGGATGGCCAGAAGAAAGAACAAATCTGTCTTGGAAGAAATATAGCCAGAATGCTCCTTAGAAGCAAGGATGGTGAGGTTTCATCTCATGTACTTTGGACATATTATCAGGAGGGACCAATCCCTGGAGAAGGACATCATGCTTGGTAAAGTAGAAGGTCAGGGAAAAAGGAAGACCCTCTGTGAGATAGACTGACACAGTGGCTGCAACAATGGGCTCAAACATAGTAACAATCGTGAGAATGGCGCAGGACTGGGCAGTGTGTTTCGTTCTGTTGTACACAGGGTTGCTATGAGTCAGAACCAACTCGACCACATCAAACAACAACATCCACAAAGGGCCTTGGTTGCTCAATGGTTAAGCACTCTGCTGCTAACTGAAAAGTTGGTGGTTTGAACAAAGCCAATGACTCTGTGGGAGGAAGACCTGGCAATCTGCTTCCATAAAGATTGCAGCCAAGAAATCCCTATGGGGCTGTTCTACTCTGTTACATGGGGTCACTATGAGTTGGAATTGACTCAACAGCACACAACAACAACACTTCATTACAACAGTTAGACTCTCTTTAGACAGAAGACTGGTCAAGGTCAGTATACCAAAGGCTTCCATGAGCTGAGTGATATGTACACCTCCTGCTGGTTTCGTTGGGTATGAGGTGACTTACTAGCTAAGCTTCTATTTTCACTAAACTGCCTTCACAATCCAGATTTCATTGTCACAGTGCTCTTGATAAGGTTTTTATCACATTTCACATACTGGAGCCTGAACAATACTGCTTACCATAATTCAGTTACAAAAGGAATTTGTTAGTGCAGACTCCAGAAGTCAGCCCATACAGGTCAACACTGGATACCACTGCCCAGGAGAAGTGAAGAATCTGATAAAATGTGAAATGAAAGAATGAGTATGAGGTCTTTTAGAGTTCTAGAATTTTATAGATTAGACATATGATAATACATCCAATTAGTCTGTTCTATTTATTTTCTAATTTGAAGTTCAGTTTCTTTTTAATGCTTGTTTAATGTCTGTTAGATTAATGAAATAAACTATAATTCCAACTAATCCCAGTATTAGACATTTTTGCTTAAATTGCTAAATTTTACTGCTGTTGGTTCTTGAGGTTATAATTGCTAAAATGATGTCACAATTGATTCTGGGAGAAGAAAACAAATATAAAACAATATCCACCACTACCAGTTGCCTTCAAATCGATTCTGAATCATGGTGACCCCGTCTGTGTCAGAGTAGGACTGTGCTCCATAGAGTTTTCAACGGCTGGTTTTTTGGAAGTAGATCACCAGGACTTTCTTCTGATGTGCCTCTGGGTGGATTTGAACCTTCAACCTTTTGGTTAGCAGGTGTCTTAATTATCTAGTGTTGCTATAACAGAAATATCACAAGTGGATGTCTTTAACAAACAGAAATTTATCTTCTCACAGTTTAGGAAGCTAGAAGTCTGACTTCAGAGTGCCATCTCTAGGGGAACTGTCAGCTCTGGGGAAGGTCCTTTTTCTTTGGCTCCTTTGTTATCTTCATGTGGCTTGGCATGTGTCTTCTCACATCTCTGCTTCTTGAACACTTGTTTAATCTCTTCTATATCTCAAAAGGGAAACCCTGGTGATATAGTGGCTAAGAGCTATAGCTGCTAACCAAAAGGTCGGATGTTAGAATCCACCAGGCGCTCCTTGGAAACCCTATGGGGCAGTTCTACTCTGCCTATAGAGTCCCTATGAGTCGAAATTGACTCAACGGCAACGGGTTTTTTTTTTTTTTTTTTTGGTTTTATATCTCAAAAGAGACTGACTCAAGACACACCTATAATAACCCTGTCTCATTTACATAAAAAAGACAACCCATTCCCAGATGGGATTATAACCACAAGCATAAAGGATAGGATTTACAACACATATTTTGAGGGGACACAATTCAATTTATAACAGCAGACAAGTGCTTAACTATACCACCCAGGGATGTCATAAATATATATACATATATAAAAAACCGGTTGCCATCAAGTCAATTACGACTCATAGTGACCCTATAGGACAGAGTAGAACTGCTCTATGGGGTTTCCAAAGAGCGGCTGGTGGATTTGAACTGCCGACCTTTTGGTGAGCAGCCATAGGTAGGTCTCAACCACTTCGTCACCAGAGCTCCTAAAACAATATAGGGGACAGGAAAATTATAATAAAGCACTTACACCATAATTTATTTTTAAAAGATCTTATTTTAATACTTGCTTGTAGACTTCCACAGAACTTAAAAAGAAAATTTAAAAATGTTTTCTACAAATAATCTTTCACAACCTGTTCTGTTGGTTTTCCTCTTAAAACAACATATTGCGAGAAGAGATTTCTTCAAATGAAACCACCATTTTTTTGCTAGAATGGATAAAGGTTAAAGTAAAGATGTAGCAGTTACCTGATACTGGGGTGGGTTGAAAAGCGCTGGGCAGCCCCGTTTTCTTCCCTCTCCTTCAGTCTCTATGGTCATCGTGTTCTTATCTCCCCTGGATTTCTCCAAGGAGCCTTCAACTACATGGCAAAAAGCAGCTCTGTCTGCAAACAACTGCCTCAGCCCGCTCCTCGGGCAAAGGTGCTTCTGCTCCAAATCTCAAAGTTTTAAGGAAAAAAAAACCTTAATAAAAAATATGAACAATTATTTGCAAATAATTTTGTTCTCAGAAAAGCCTACCGAGCAGTACACCTACCTTACTTTAAAAGACTGTTTAAATTAAGCTCCCCGAGCAATGTTCCCAGAATCAGTTGCATCAGACTCACATAACTGATTATAAAAATGAAGATTCCTGGGCTTTGCCTCAGACGGCAATCTCTGAAGGTGGGGTTGAAGGCTCTGCATGTTTAATGTACCCCATACATGCTGATCAAATCATCTATGGAAGATTTTTTTTTTTTATGTTAATGATGGATCAACTCCCAGTGATGCTGATCAATAACCTTAAATTGAAGCATAGCATCTGTTATGGATTGAGCTCGCAGATATGTGCTGGAATCTCAACCTCTCCACCTATGGATGTAATCCCATTTGGAAACAGGGTTTTCTTTGTTATGTTAATGAGGCCATGTCAGTGTAGCGTGGGTCTTAAACCTAATGATTTTTCAGATATAAGAAGAGCAGATTTGACACAGAGAGACACAAGCAAGCACTAATGGGGAAAGATAGATGCCACATGGAGATGGACAAGGAACGGAAGACTGCCAGTCTAGAGAGCCGGAGACAGGTCGGCTCCCCCAGAGTTGTCAGAGAGAGGGCCTTCGCCTAGACGTGGTGCCCTGAATTTGGACTTCTAGCCTCCTAATCTGTGAAAAAATAAGTTTCTGTTTTCATTACAACCACCCACTTGTGGTATCTGTGTTACAGCAGCACTAGGAAGATAAGACAGCGTGTATATTTATAAAGACTTCTACTGGTTGGAGCCCTGGTGGCACAGTGGTTAAGCTTTTGACTGCTAACCAAAAGGCTGGCAGCTGGAATCCTCCAGCAGCTCCTTGGAAAACCAAAACCTATGGGGCAGTTCTATTCTGTCTTACAGGGTCACTATGAGTTGGAATCGACTCAATGGCAGTGGATTTGGTTTTATTTTTGTTTTTCTACTGGTTACTTGAATGAGCACTGAGGTTTGAGAACTCTTGTTCTGAGAGTTGATAAAAGAAAGGATGAATGTTGAAAGACCTGTATTTCATTTCAATTTGCCAATGAATTGTTAATGTAGAGAAGTGAGGGTCATATCAACCAGATGTAGAAGAAAGATTAGTGAAGGGTGGAGGAAATCGTGTGACTAAATGGAAGACTGAATGCTGTGACTTCTCAAATTAAAAAAGGGTCAGAGTCACACTTCAATGACTACGATTCTTAACCCTGGCTGCTTCTTAGAATAATACCCTGGGATTAAGCTTTCAGAAAATGCCAATGCCTGGGCCCTGCTCCAGACCAATAAATCAGAATGTCTGGGTCTGAGGCCCAGGTGTCTGCATGCTTTAACAGCCCCTGGGCTGACTTGACATGCAGCCAGCCAGAGCACCGCTGTTCTATGACATACGAGAAGCCGCTTGAGTCACCTGCTATTGTTGACATCACAAGCAGCTCAGGTTTGCTTCCAGACATTTGCAGGCCAGGTCTTCAGGGGAAATGAATGATTGGCAGTGTCTTTTTATCTCGTTTTCCACTTCTTCAGCCACCATCATTTAGATTCACTTCTTTGTTTATGATAGCATTAATCTTATAAATAATTTTGTCACCTGATTTCTTGCCGTAATTATGTGGCAGTATATTGCTTAGGGCAAAGACCACAACGTTATGTAACTTAAACTTTGTTAGCTAAAATTTGGGGGTGCGGGGAGTGGGGTAGTATTTGTGGAATTTTGTGATCCGTTGCTCGGCAACTATAAAGACAACTAAGCTTTCGCACTCTGGTGAGCCGTTTGAGTTACTAAGTCTGGTGAGCCCAGTCAACGTCTTCCGGCTCCCAGAAGGAAATTACTAATTATCGAGAAGGCTCGGAAAGATCTCCTTCAGAGTGGGCCATTCATAGTGTGGAAATGTCACACTACTTCTACCTGACGCCACAAGTCCTTCTGCCCTTCAGCCCTCTTACTTCCGAAGAGTTTGATCTGATCCGACGCAAGGCTGGAGCATCTTGGCAGAATGAAACGCGATGGTCAGATTCTTCCGTGACCACATACACGGGGAGTTACCGGAAAAAACAACTGGATGTGTCCACGTGCAGCCGATCGTTCAAAGCAGGACCACAAGAACCTGAGTGTGAACAGTAAGAGTTCTTTGTGATTTGCTCCTGGGTGTGTCAGTACAAATAGACAAGAATACTTTTAGAAGGGTAGGAGGGATTGTAGACCTTGAAAAAGGCTTTACCCCTGCAAATTTTCCTGTCTAAATGTTAGTGGGAAGAAGAGCTAAATGTCAGTTACCAGCGGAAATTATGATTGCACTCTCTTCTTAACCCGTTGCGGTCGAGCGATCCTGTAGGACAGAGTAGAACCACCCCATAGAGTTTCCAAGGAGCAATTGGTGGATTCAAACTGCCGACCTTTTGGTTAGCAGCTGTAGCACTTAACCACTATTTATATATATAGAGGGTTTTCACTCTCTACTTACTACTCATAAAATTACCTATAACGGCCAATTCCCGAACGGATAAGAACAGGAGTATTTGACTTAGCTATGGGCATTTTGTATTCTCCGCTCTGCGAGAGGAGTTCCTGAGAATTTCACTTTGTTTCCTGTCTAGCTTTTCCACTTTCAGGAGTCAGAACGTTGGCTTGGAGCAGGAATGAAAGTAGCCTGACTCCTCCACTTCCCACCTGGTGATGTCTGTCGATGCATGTCACAGCGCTGAGGGCTTGACAGACATTTTTTGAGTGTTTACTGTACCGTCAGGCCCTGTGATACACTCAGAGTAAAAAAATTAATTTCAGTTTAATATGGTAACTGCAGCTACAGAAACGGGTAATGGGAGATGTTATCAGTGTCTGTGGTGGGGGAGGGATGTGGTGTTTCTGGGAAGATCTCAGTAAAGCAGGTTTCCTTTGAGCTGGTTTGGAAGGCAGAGGAGATGGAGACCAGGAAGGTGTACCACATGGAGGAAGAGTCAACGCAAAGGCAGAAAATAGTTGCCACAGAGTCATTCCGACTCATGGTGACCCCAAGTGTGTCAGAGCAGAACTGTTCTCCACAGGGTTTTCAATGGCTGAGTTTTTGGAAGTAGATCACCAGGCCTTTCTTTTGACGTGCCTCTAAGTGGACTCGAACTTCCAACCTTTCAGTTAGCAGTGGAGGGTGTTAATCATTTACACCACCCAGGGACTCCACACAAAGGCAAAGGAACGTTTGATCCCAAGCACTATCAGGGAACTGCAAGTAGCTCGGTAAGTTTGAGAGATAAAGCCTAAGTGGGAATGTGGAAAATATGAGGACTCATTACTAAATATGTCCCTCTGAAGATTAATTGGCAAATACCTTGTTCAAATTCTGGAAACTATTTGAAAACTAATTGGATTATTTTATTGATTTTGACTTCAGATATGACAAATAACCCAAATTCAGTAAACCTGCGAAAGCCAGAAACTGTGTAAGGCAGAAACCTGTCAGAAAAGGAAAACTCAAATATTTTCCACTAACAGAGAGTGATAGAAAAGTGGTAAGACTGTACCCTGTTAAAGGCAGAAAACTTTCGAGACCCAGAAAAACAAGGCAGTCCTGTCAAGTTCCAGTTCTCACAGGTTTCACTGTTTTACGCTAATAAACATTAGTTATATTGTTTTCCAGGTCCAAATTATCAAAACAAAGTACTCAAACCTAAAATGTCTTAAGAGTACTTTCCAGTTGGATGTCTTGTTTGGCTTATTCCAACGAACTACAATCTTTGCACTTTTAATAGCTCTCTAGTATGTTGACACTTCAATTAGCTTTGGAAGTTCCTTTGCTGAAGTCTTCAAGCACTGCTGGGGTCCTTGAAAGCTGGTATCCAAACAGATTCATTCACCAGAGTAGAAAAAAAAAAGATATTTAATAACTCTGAAAAAAATGCAGAAATATACACCTGGTGAAAATGGACAAAGTCTTGAGTTTGTTTCTGAATGTGATCACTATGTGAATCATTCCAACTAAGGCATCCTGTGACGTTGCAAACCACAAAAAACACAAGCTTTTGAGGTTTATCTGTTTTTTGGAACCTCAGAAATGAAAATACATTCTTTGCACCACTACTGCTTATTCTATTATAGGATAAAAAAAAGCAAATGTTGTAAAGGAAGATAAAGGACAGGTTCAACTCATTTTGGAAGTACCAATTATATTCTAAATTTGCTTTTGTTTTTAATCGTTTTCTTGGTTAATTTTAGCCCCAAGGACAAATGTCTTTTGAAGTTTTGAGCAAAATCTGTTTGATTTAAATTTTGTAAGGCTATAAAGACACATTTTCACACTGCTTAAAATCAGAATGGTCCAAGAGGGATTATTGGAATAAACTTGAAATGATTAATCATTTTAAAATGTGTTTAGTCAGGCAAATATTGACATAGACCAAACACAGTATTTTTTTTTTTGTTCATCTTATTTAATATACATTGAATACCCATATTATTTGAGACAGAAGGAATTTGGTAGATATCTCTATCATTTGGTTCTGAATGAGTTTTAGCAGCAAATTTGTAAAATTCATAACCATGCAAAAAGAAGATTCCTGCGTTGGGTCAATGGAGATTATTGTGCTATAGAACTTTAAGCTATTATGAATATCAGTGTCAATCTCAGTTGTCTACCAAGGTTAAAATAAAGGAAGAATTGCATTTTGGAATTCCTAACACAGGGATATGGCTCAAGTTGATGCTTTGTCTATTCATTAAATCATTCACCTATTCATCCAGTAATCAAATATTTGTTATGTGCCTGCTATGTGTATAGTCTTAGGCTAGATGCTGGGGCTGCATCAGTGATCAAAACATATATAGCTCCTGCCTCTGTGGAGTTTATAGACTGAGGGAGACAATGACCCAGGAAACAATAAACCATTTGTTCTCTGAAGGCATCAAATACGTGCCTTTGTTAAAAACAAAGGTAGTGGTCGTGGCCATTTCTTATAAAAGTAAACAGCATCTTATATGATCCAGCAGTCGTGTTCCTAAGTATTTACCTGATTTAAAAACACGTTCACACAAAAACTTGCATGTGAATGTTTATAAGTAGCATTATTCATAATTGCCAAAACTAGAAGGAACTGGGATGGATAAGTATACAATGGTACATCCATACAATGGAGTATTATTCAACAATAAAAAGAAATGAGGTATCAGGCCACAAAAAGACATAGTTGTAATCTTAGATCCATATCTGTAAGTAAAACCAGCCAGTGTGAAAAAGATACATACAATATAATTTCAATTATATGACATTCCAGAAAAGCAAAACTAAGAGACAGTAAACAGATCAGTGGTTGTCAGGGAATAGGAAAGTATTGAACAGACAAAGCACAGGTTTGTTTTTTTTAAGGTGGTGAAACTATTCTGTATGATACCGTAATGATAAGTACACAAGACATTAAGCATTTGTCAAAACCCATAGAACTTTACAGCACAAACAGTAAACCTTAATGTATGCAATTTCTAAAAAAAAAAATATTTAGGAGTTTGGGAGATCCCAGGAGGGAATACAGAATATGACAAAAGAATCTGTGTTACAAATGTATGAGACAACCTCACTGAAAGGGATGTGGAAATAAGGTAACTTTGGAAATAAGCCACGTCTATAAGTATAAAAGCAAAAGAACTGCACATAAGAACTGTACTCTCATTGATAAAGTTGTTTCCCAGGAGGGTATGGGTTAATAATTCTGCAAGTACTATACATGTATACTGGAATTGAACTATTAAGTAAATGGATGACAGATGATGGGAGCCAGATTTCTCACTATTAGAGTGAGAGGTTTAAAATAAGCAAGTAGAAGTGGTTAGAATGATCCATGAGGTAATGGATTAGAGTTGGGGACATCAGTATGAGCTTATGTTTAGGTTAATATAGATACAGATAGTTGCATATAGAAATATTTATAGATATGTGTGTATACACAGGTTAGTATGTTGTTGTTGTTAGGTTTCGTCAAGTTGCTTCCGACCCATAGCGACCCTATGTACCACAAAAGGAAACACTGCCCAGTCCTACACCATCCTCAAAATCGGTGTTATGGTTGAGCCCATTGTTGCAGTGTCAATCCATCTTACTGAGGGCCTTCCTCTTTTTTGCTGACCCTCTACCTTACCAAGCATGATGTCCTTCTCCAGGTACTGATCCCTCCGGATAACATGTCCAAAGTATGTGAGACGTTGTCTTGCCATCCTGGTTTTTATGGAACATTCTAGTTGTGCTTCTTCCAAAACAGATTTGTTCATTCTTTTGGCAGTCCATGGTATATTCAGTACTCTTTGCCAAAAATATTCAAAATAAACCTAGAGCATCTTTTAGTACCAGAAAGGAAGAAAGTGAACTAAAAAATAATGATGGGATTGTCAAAGTGACACAGGATCCAACTGAAAGAGCTCCTAATAGCAAAAGCTGGAACAATTTGGGCAACAAAATAAAATAGTATTGGATTATGATCCAAAGTATAAAATATGCATGAGTCTGTACTGATGTAATTAAACGGTTGAATAAAACCATAAATGAGGGAGAAAGGACAAATCTCCTATGCAGAAGAGTTTAAAAAAATTTATGTAGTAACTTTATCCTCAAGAAGGTGGAGCACAATTCACCATTCCTTAAATGTGAACTGCACACACTGAATTTAATCCAATGAGTATGGAATGGGGTGGCGGGGAGAGAAGTAACTTTACAGTGGGGAAACCTAAGAAACACTACCTCAAGCCATCTGATCAAGGTTAACATCAACAGTGATAAGTTATATTGATAGTCTGCATCCTTGATATCATGTGATAAGAATGGTACTTCACTTCTGTGGTTTTCCTTCCCAAAACACATTACCCTTGTATAATCATTAGAAAAACATCAGACAAAGTCATATTGAGGGACATTCTACAAAATTCCTGACCAGTAGTCATCAACGTTTCATTATAATACTTTAATTTGTCTTCTCAAGCTGCCCTTTAAATTCTTCTGTTCAGCTCTTTTATTTCATCATTTCTTCCTTTAGCTACTCTACGTTCAAGAGCAAGTTTCAGAGTATCTTCTGACATCCATTTTGGTCTTTTCTTTCTTTCCTGTCTTTTAAATGATCTTTCGCTTTCTGCATGTATGATGTCC